AGAGATTTTACAACATAAAGACATTCCTTGTGAAAAGATTTCTGACCAGTTACTATAATAAAACTCACAGAATTAAAAGTGTACCTATTATTACAGTGTAAGAGCTCCTACTAGGAATTTTTGCTAGTATTTTAAGTTGTTGGGACAGATATATTGGTATACCAGAGTGAACCTACTAGTCATGGGGATCAGTTTGTATGTCATACAAATGGAATGTAGAACATTTCATAATTCAACTTAAATGCAGCTTGAGAGCGTTTCAATGAATGAACAGATAATTCTTAAATGTCTACATGGATCATGCCACTTCCAGTAATATATTTTTCAATTATAATAATATATGAAGAAATAGTCACCAAAGAACACACTAAGATTCCTATTACCACCAAAAAGTATTGTCAAGTGCTTGCAAGTACATTCAGATTTGTTCACAGCAGAGAAACTTCAAGGACAATTACCAAAAAAATTAAGAAAAAGTAAAATATATTAAGCTTTTATTAGGTTAGTATAATTTCTATGATGGTTAGTGTATCTCAGTCACACCTGATGATTCTTTTATTAAGTTTTTATAATCAATATATGGAAGGCATGCAATACTAAGTTCTACTTTTGTACATCCTTTAAGACAACACTTTTCTGAGTATCCTCTGCGTTTTCTTTGGGGCTGGTTCCCCCAAAACCAACTGCTTAAGGTTTTCATTTTGTTTGTACTTTTCTTCTGAAGTTCTACAATCTCATGAATATATGGATCGATATCTTGGAATGAGGAAAATTCTCTTATCATCTCAGGTGGCAAGTTGGTCTTTTTATACTGATACTCAGGTAACAACGGCATCTCCAAACTGTTTATTGCTTCTTCCTGAAAGGCAGAAGTAGAGACTGTTGAGAGACAAGAAAAAAATCCTACTTTATTAAAATCTTTCTTTAGCTGAAAATTTGATAATACTGGAATACTAAAGTTAGCTTATGATTTAAAAAAACCAGATTTTAAAAGTTATTCAAAAGCAATATATATTTTAAATTAAAATAGCTATAGTGTTTTCCTATAAAAAGGCTAAGAAACTTTTGCATATTTTTCACGAATCAAACTTTTTATTGAGATTTCATGTGTTGTAAAATTCAGCATTTTAAAGCATACAATATTTTTTTTAGTATATTCACGAGGTAGTGCAACCATCACCACTTTCTAGTTCCAGAATGTTTCCTCCATCACTCCAGAAAGAAACCCTACACTCATTAGTATTCACTCCTATTTCCCTCTTTCTCTAGCCCCTGGCAACCACTAATCTACTTTTAATTTCTAAGAATTTGTCTATTCTGGAAATGAAATACCATATGTGGCTGTTTGTGTTTTGTTTCTTTTGCTTAGTATAATGCTTTCAAATTGTGCTGTAGCATGTATCAGTATGTTATTCCTTTTATGGCTGAATAATTTTCCATTGTATGGTCATAACCACATTTTGCTGATGTACTTATCATTTAATGAATATTTGACTTTCCACTTTTTGACAATTATGACCAGTGCTGTTGTGTGCATTCACATATACATACAAGTTTTTGGTGTAAACATGTTTTTAATTCTCTTTGGTATATACCTAGGGATAGAACTGCTGAATCATATGGTAAATTTAACTTTTTGAGAAACTATTGAACTGTTTTCCACAGTGGCCACCCCATTTAAAAATCCCATCACTGATATAATAGGGTTCCTACCACTCCACATCCTCACCAGTACTTGATGTTTTCTATTCTTTGATTAAGGCCATCCTACTGTATGTGAAGTGGTACCCCACTGTGGTTTCAATTTGCATTTACCTAACAACTGGTGATGTTGAGCATCTTTTTTATGTGATTGTATATCCTCTTTGTAGAAATGTCTATTCAAATCCTTTGCCCATTTTCTTGATTGGGTAACAGTAGTTCACTCTTATCCACAGTTTTGTCTGTGGTTTCAGTTACACACAGTCAACTGCAGTCTGGAAGCAGATGATCCCCCTCCTGACGTATTGTCAAAAGTCAAAGGACCTAATGCCATGCCACAATGTCTACATTATTCACTTCATGTCACCACACAGACATTTTACCATCTCACATCATCCAAGAAGAAGACAGGTGAGTATAGTATGTTTTGAGAGAGAGAGAGACCACAGTCACATAACTCTTATTACAATATAGTTAGAAATGTTTCATTTTGCTAGTTATTGTTAATCTCTTGCTGTGCTTTAGTTCTAAACTTAATGATTCCCTGTATCACTTAGAGTAAAAGCCAAAGCCTTACAATGGTCTAAAAGTTCCTACTTCATTTTGCTTGTTTCATCTCTGACCTTATCTTCTATTTCCCTCTCAGTCTCTCTGCTTCAACTATGCTAGTCTCTTTATTGTTCGCTGTATAAGCCAGGCAGAAGTGTATTTGCTCTGTTCTCTCCTCTACATAAAAACTTTTGCCAGATATCCACCTGGCTAATTCCTTTACCTCCTCCTTTCTCAAATCTCACCTTTTCAATGGGGCCAACTATTCACACTATTCAACACTATACCCAATTGCACTCTTGATCTCCCTTATCTCGATTCCCTTTTTTCAATAGCTCTTATTATATTCTAATATTTACTTATTTAATATTTTTGCTAATTAAGCTCTATGAGACCAGGGATCCTTGTCTATTTTGTTCACTGATAGGGTCTAGAGCAGTGCCCAATAAATAGCAGATGTCCAGTAAGTACTTGCTGAATTAATGAAGAAAGAAATCATATGATTATGTAAAAGGATGCCCCTAAAAAGACCTTAATAAAGTTCAGCCTTACTTATAATGATTAAAAAAATACCTCTTAGCAAACTTTCGTACTGTTAAAGGTTATATAGATAGCACAAACCTACAAATATTATACCTAATATGAAATTTTAAATACATTCCCCTTTATAATTGGGAAAAGACAAGACATCCTACTATCACCACCACTTAACAGTATTAAAGGACCTGGCAAATGCTATAAGAAAATAAAAAAGGGCTGTAAAGTTTAGAAAGGAAGTGACAAAACTATCAATTGCAAATGACAGGAAATATAGAGACAAATTTTTAGGACTATTAAGATGGTTCAGCATAATTACTGGATAAAGATCAACTTGTAAAAATCAGTTGCATTTCTCTAACAATCATTAACTAGGAAGTATAATTATATAATTAGCAAGTACTTACATTAGCAACAAAAACAAAATATTAAGCATTAACCAACAATACACAGCCTCCATACAGAAAACCTTAAAATTCTACTCTTAGAATACAAAGATATTCCATGCTTTTGGCTGCGATGACTCTATGTTAAAAAGTTTATTCTTTTCAAATTAATTTATATATTCCATGCATCCCAGTTATAATTCCAGATGGAATTTTTTTAAAGTTCAGTAAGCTTACTCATAAATATATATGGAAGAATAAAGGTTAAGGTTTAGCTTACTCAATCTGAAGGGAAAAAAGCATTGGAAACTCTCCCTCTCACCTAAATGACATCCTACGGAGTCACAGTATTAAAAATAATGTAGTAATGATGCAAGGTCAAATAGACTAATTAAATAGATTAGGAATCTCAGGCACACATAATAATAAAGGTGCCTCTACAAATCAATGGAGAAAAATTGTTTAGTAGATGGTGTTCAGAAAATTAACTCCTTGATAGAGACAAATATGACTTACTGAGAGAACTAATATAGTATCCCTAGCTGAACACAACCAAAAATGAGTTTCAAAAGAATTAAGGACTTAATGTGAAAAGTAAAACTATAAAGTTAACAGAGTGACAGAAAACGACCTCTAAAACAAAATTTCAAAAGCGTGAACTTTAATTGCCTAACTATATCAAAATTAAGTCTTTATCAAACAAGACCAATAGAAGACATATGGGAGAACATACTTGCAATATCTAAAACCAACAACTGGTTACTACTGTATCTAGATTTTGAATAACTTACAAATCAACTGAGAAATGACAACAATTCCAACAAAAAAAGGGGCAAAAAATATAAATAGGAAACTTTCAGAAAAAAGAAGCCCAAAAAGCCAATATGCACATGGGGCTCAAATCCAGATCAAGTTAAGACAATGAAATGCCATTTCATGTCTGTCACATTGTCAAAAGTTAAAAAATGTATAATGTGAATTACTGGCATGGATATGACAACCATTCTCATGTACTAGTGGTGCAACTATAAATTGGTGTAGTCATTCTATAGAGCAATCTGACACATCTCAAGCAAATTAAGCATATACATATTTCATGATGCAACATTTCTATTTCTAGGCATATATCCCAGACAAATGTCCACACAGGTCCATAAGGGGGCGCATACAATGATGTTCACTGCAGTGGTATTTAAGTGGCAGAGAGTTGAAGACCATATAGGTCAGTGTTCATCTCTAAGAGAATAATAAAATGTGGGAATGCATATGAAAATTATGGAGCAGTTTGAAGCAATGGATTAAATATACATGTTGAACAGTAAGATATAGATCTTTAATATTTAGATATATTTTTAAAATACATGCACAGGAAACTGCACAATTGCAAAAATACAAACAAAAATACATAATAAACACATTGTAATGGCTGCCTGTAGGAGGAAGAGAATGAGAGTGGAGAAAGGAGGTATGTGAAGACTAATCATCTTTTAACATACTGTATAATTTACTTATGTTTATTGTCTATCTTCACAGTTCTGTAGGCTTCAAGGAGGCAGCAACTTCACTGCCTCTGAGTGAAAACTGTTCACTCATATCCCAAACACCAAGAAGACTATGTCATACAATAGTAAACATAAGAGGTGCTCAAATTTTGTTGAATTAATAGAGAGGTCTGTATAGCACTATTGTGATGATGATATCTAAAACACAAAAAGAGATGAAGACCAAGAATAGAGAAATACAGCCAATCTAACTGGAATAGGGGTTATGGATTATGAAAAGCTGATGAGAAAACAATAATGATTTCACCTGGCATTAAGAGTTGGGAAGAACCATGCTTAGCCAGAATTTAGAAATAGGATGTTAGTTTCATGGTGCCACATAGGTCTTGAAGACATGGCTCATACCTTCAGGATCTACTAACAAGCAGCACACAATTTCAGATTCAAGTTATGTATGAATGGCTCTGAA